TTTAAATACAAATTTAAATAAATTTCTAACTTTTGAAAGTTAAAATAATTTATATTACTAGTATCTAAGGAAGCTAAAAAATAATGTTAAAAATAAGACTAAAGTGGAAAGATCAATATGCAATGCAAAGAAGCCTTTTTATTTTACTCATATTATTTTGAGCCTCATGTGCATACTAGGCATCAAAAAGTATCACGTAACGTTGACTACTACGACGGAGAAGAAAGTGACCACATTGAAGGGATTTATCCGTATTTGAACAACAAGGTAGACTAATTAGTCAACACACACTATGAAAATTAACACAATTCGAACACAAAGCAACTCATCAATATATATTGTTGAATTATGAAAAAATAAAACCTTACATTAAGTGAGTTTATCAAAATTCAAATTGTAGATCATACTTATTTCATTACATACAATAATATTAGCAAGCATAGTAGAGACTAACTCACGTTTTTTGTTAATTCTTTTTTTTTACTGGATTTTTTGTCAAAATGCTACTAAACAATCCCTTCATGTTCGAGAATGAGGTCGATGCTTTAAATGAAAATGAGTTTACCTCCTGATTTAATCAATATGTAATTCATATTTAGTTTGTTGATAGCATTAATTAAAAGATAACTAAACTTTTAGGGGATTTTATGTTTAATTTACGGACACAAAATGCACAAGCAATTTTCATGAAAGAACATTTCTTGAAAGATCTTGCACTAGGCCTATTACTTACCGTAAGATCGTAAAGCGGTTCTTTTGTTAACGGTTATAGGTTTCGCACACTTGAGGGATCTTCAAAAACAGGATCTTTCAATAGTGGTGTCTACATTAAAGAAAGTAATTATAGTATAGTCGAGAGTGACTATTATGGGATACTAATAAAAATTCTTGAAGTAGAATATCCTGTACTACCAATTAAGAGAACGAGTATTATTCAAATGTGATTGGTTCGATCCCACACCACAAGGAACAAGGGTTCATTCATATTATAAACTTATGAATGTTAATTATAAGAAAACCTTGAACAATTACAAACCATTTGTCCTAACATCATAATCGTCTTAGGTGTATTATGTGGAGTACCTTAATTTAAGGCATGAGAACCGAGATTGGTGGGCTATGTGTAAGATCAAAGCTAGATTTGTGTTTGACTTTCCCGATTCATCAGCTATCATCCAACAAAATGCTAAACTATTTCAATAAGACGATCCAAAAATTTGACACGAATTGATAGAGAAAGTCGAGGACATCACTTTATTGAATGATCCAATTGATCGTTTGTAGACGTAGAAGTAAGTATGATTGATGAAGACGATGATAATGAGTGTGAAATACATCGAATGATAAAGATGATAACTTAAATAGTGATTATAATAGTTCTAATTAAAAATAGATTACATTTGTTGTATTAGTAAAAAAATGATGTAATTTTGGTTTCTTTATTAATTTGTTATATGCAGTTAATAATATTGATTTTCATACATCTATTAAATGCTCGCTGTATATTTTGATTGTTTTGTATTCATAGCAAATGATGTATTTTTTATTTACTTATTAATTTACTCTAATAATATATTTGTTATATTTTTTTTATTTGTTTAACGTTAGGTAATACAACGAATGAATCGTGGTTTGCGTTGTCCTCCTATAGTCACTTATTGGATCACGTTTTGATAATTGTGGATGAGCATCATCGTCCGATGGTAGTTCACTAGGATTCTCTATTAGTATTGGTCGTAGGTCTCCAACTACAAGCCTTTTATGTAGGTCCCATGGGTCTCGCAATCATAGAGGTAACACATCTACGACGACGGGTTTTCGCATCGGCACCTAAGGCTCCAACACCGACCCCAAGAGTGGCCTCTCCACTCGTATGTCCGATATTCTAAAAAGTTCCCATAGCTCCTCCAATCGATAATGTATTTCTATCGCTCGAGGACGGTATGTAATTATTTTTTTACTTTAATATATAATTTCAATAATTCCTATGTTTTTTTTAATATTTTTTTTTGTTGTTTGATAGTTTCACTCCGCCTAGTAAAGATTATTCCATGAAGATATTTGTGATTTTTAAGGAGTGGTCGGATATCAATAGATCATCTTTGAAGTCTTTCACCGACGTCACTAAAAAATTCTACTTTAGTGAATTTTGAGTAACATATTATCATTTTTTTTATAATTAAAATAAAATTTTTCACCGAATAAAGTAATTCATATTACTTATTTTTTTCGTACGTAAATATTTTGACTAGGATGTGTCCATCGAGGCACTTGTCAAAGCGGCATCCGAGGCTATGGCCAAAAAAATGCTATGCTAACTTCATCTACAAATGTAGTTTGATGAATGAGCAACCTACTTATATTAGTCGGAAGGTCTAGGATACGGGACGAACGGATTTCACGAGACTCGATCCCGTGGCTTGTTCGGAGCAAGCATCTAGAACCGATTGTTCGAGACCGGTGGTCTTGGTACGAGTCCTTTCGGCATACGAGAGGGTTCTATATCCGTAGAAAAGCACGCCCATCGCTTGGTAAATTGCACTCTTTATTATTAATTACATGTTTCGAACATTTCAATTTTTTTCATATTATTTGTAATGGATTTTTTTCGGGAGGCAAAATTAGGTCGTGAGCCAACGAGTTTTGAGTCGTTTCAAACGACTCACAAGAGACGAGATGGTTCTTTCGTCGATCCGCGCTCCCGCAAACAATGGTAAGTGTTTTTCAATTTTAAATATTAAATATGAAAAGATAATCTAAAATTTATTTTAATCTTATAATGATAATATTATTATTTTGATTACACGAGATCGTGTGGAACGGCTCATCCAAGAAGCGAGTTGCATTAGTAGGCGACGGGAATCATGAAGCCGAAGTTGACCGAATACCATATACCTTGAGGTTGTCGAGGAGAAGAAGAAAATGTTTTATGATATAAGCACATGGTCGATGCATTACCTATCATAGTTAGGTGGCGACGGCTCCTTCCTTACGACGTCGTATTATGTCATCAACTCGGCTAACAAAAAGCTTCGAAAGGACTACGAGGCTATGAAAGAAGCGATGAAAGAGATGTAGGTGAAACAACACAAGCTCCAGATTATGATCTCGGAGTAGTAGACGACTATACATAGTCTAAAATCTCGGTAAAACTTTATGGCATCCTTAATGATAAGGTCGGCATGGACAACCGAGGTGCTCGTAGATCCGTCGACCAATTAGCAATCTACCGTTCCCTCCACGTAACCTCCCGTTTAGTTTCCAGTCGATTCTCCTATCGAGCCCTCCACACAATATCAAGAGGAGGATATGGGAATAAACGATCGGGATAAGTGATAAAACATTGCATTTAGTCACTTCGTTTTTTCTTTTTTATCGAATGTACTCTTGAATGTTATTGTTAATATTAATTTATTTTTAATCTATACGTTATTACTTGTGATTGTTAATTATTAAATATAATATTAATTATTAATTATTAAATGCAATATTAATAATTTAAAAATAAAAAACAAATTGTCAAAATTTTTAGCTACGAGAAAAATGACAAATTCATCTCTTAAATTTAACGACGGAATAGCGATGACTTAACTTAGCTTTGGATATTAACGACGGATTGTCATTCAATATTTAGCAACGGAAATAACGACGTCAGCCATGACAGATCCCACGACAAAAACAACGATGGATTATTTTCAAATTAGCAACAAAAATTTCGTTGCTAAAATTGTGACGAAATGGATTTTTCTGTTGCTAAAATTAATGACAAGCGATTTAGCCACGGATGGACATTCCGTTGCTGGTTCGTCACTCACCCATTTTAACGGCGGATTTTGAGCAATTAGTGATGGAATAATCCATCGCTAATTGCCTTTGTTTTTTAGTGAATGTTAGTGCTACATACCTCTGCTCTAAAATCCCGTTTTTCACTCCCCTTTGAAACATATTGCTATGGACTCTCACTTTGTTCATGATCAAGTCACTGTCAAGGTGCTTCGGATTACTAATGTCCATTCCACTTATCAGCTTGATGATTCGCTTGCCAAACCCCTAGCACGCCATCTGTTCTAATGGCATCGTGCCAAACTCAATGTCCTCCCCGGACCCTTGCACTTGTGAGGCATGATAGAATCTCAGTCAGGAATGTCACTGATTCTCAGCCAGCAAAGGATCACCATCACCATGATACAAGGGATGCTTTTACTGCTGTAATATTCTCTATAATCTCAGCTTAATTAGCTAGATATTTTCCTTAACTAGTCAAGATAATCTTACTTGATTTATATCATGAAACCTTATATATATACTGTAAGTATTATATCAATAAGTAAGACGATTGATTACCCCATTCTTTTAGATGGGTTAACTAAAACGGAGCAAACCTTCAAATTTGTTGCTTCTGGCTTCTTATATTAAGGTCAACTTCATCTCGTGGATTCTCAAACAGTGGAACTCCTGCTCGCCTTTTCCACTTTTATATAATATAAATACGATTTCCTTTAGATCTTTTTTAATTTATTTGGTGAAGGACTCCTTGGAAAAATTTTACCCCACATTCCCAGGATTTTTCATGCCTTTAGTTGACTTAAACCAAGACCAACCAAATAGTAGTAGCTAGTTAAGTTGTGGTTTTACATCACTCAAGACAGATCCTTTATCTGATTACCAAAGAAAGTATACTTGCAAATGTAAGAGATTCAAACTATGCAATCATAATCTCGGACAAAATGTAGACTAGCACCATTGTAAAATGAATCAAAACAAAAGGAAAAACTATCAACCGAAGTGTTTGTCAATCCATGGAAAATCCTTCAGTTTCACATCTACTGACCGCCAACAACATTGGCATATACAAACAGATGAAAAGAAAAGACAAACTGTGGGATTTTCCATGGATTAACAAAGACTTCCTTAATTGGCAATAGCTAGCATCGCAAAAATACAAATGCGTAAACTACTACTAATTCTGAAGGCAGAACCAAAGCTTAAAACTTACAATATCATGGAAAGTCGTACAAAGTCTCATCCAGTTCAAAGAATTTACTCATCCATTCCAAATTCATAGGATCCTCATTGGAGAAATCGAAGAAGTCATCCCCAACAAAGCTCGATTTTGAGGCCTCAAGTCTCTTAGAAGTACCCTCCTCCCTTCCCATGGCAACATTATCCATATCCAGTACCTTAGTTTTCTCTGGTTCATGTTCTTGTAATGTAGAGCTTCTTACTGGCTTTTCATTTTGCTTTATTTTTTTGCTCAAATGAGAATTCCAGTAGTTCTTGATCTCATTATCCGTCCTTCCAGGTAGTCTTCCAGCTATCAAAGACCATCTAAATAAAGAACATATTAATTGAAGTTAGAACACTGACCCCAAAATATATTTCTATCAGTGAAAAATAATGATGAGCGAGAGAGGGGGAAAGGAAATTAGGATAAGCTTGCCTGTTTCCAAGGAGCTTATGAAGCCTGAGTATCAAGTCCTCTTCTTGGTCTGATATGTTACCTCTCTTAATATTTGGTCTAAGATGATTCATCCATCTCAACCTGCAACTCTTGCCACATCTATTCAGACCTGCAGTAAGCAGTATGATCAAATTAACTTACCAAATCCAAAATACTGGATGAATTCTAATCAAACATTTGGACTAAAAGTTTGCATTTCTCCTTTTTTTGCTATTATAGACATTCATGTATATTAACACAATCTCCTTTAACATACCTGCTTTGGCTGCAATGGATCTCCACCTCTTTGGACCATGAATTTCAATGACTTGAGCCAGTTTTTGGTCCTCTTCAGCTGTCCATGCTCCTCTGTTAGCTTCCTTTCCATTGCATTTACTGCTCCTAGGAACCATTGGCATTTTTCTTGGTTTTTTTTCTCTCCCTCTCTCTCTCTCTCTCCCTCTCTCTCCCCCTCGGAAGCAAGATTGGTGTTTTGGACAGGAAGACAGAGTTGGAGTGAGTTACGCTTCAAGTCTTGGAGTTATATATTCTAGGGAGTACATGGATGGGAGAGATATGGTCTCTTTCCTCTAGGCTCTAGCTACCTTTCTTCGGTAAATGTATGAATCCCAACTAACTGTATATAATACTAATGCAAGTCAGTATTTGCTCCCCAGTCTCCCAGAGAGATAGTCCACAAGGCTCATGATTGAAAAGCGAGAGACTTTAGCATGTAAGAAACCATACATTGGAGTTGCTGCCCATATACTTATGTAAGACAAAAATGTAAGGAAAATGAAGAGAGGAATAAAATCCAACGGCTGTTGTCACTCAGTGGATGCTTGTAATGATGCACATATACACACACAAACAACATTGCCTTATTTGCCCCCAGAAGAATAGAACTCTCCAAAGTCAGTAAGCAAACTCATTTGCATGTGACATGTTCTTGTTTTACGAGAGATATGGATTTGCTAAGGCTTAAAATATAGTACTAGGACTTAATTCTAAGATTTGTTGAGAACAAGGACTTGGGGCATTAAGCACGTTGGTGACAACGAGAAGGTCAAAATAACAGTCAAATTCATCACTGCATCATCTAATAAAGCTGGATCATTAACGGAGATATAAAATATTACCCATAAGTAATCTACATATAAGTGATAGAATTGATTATTTAGATTCTTCTTCGTTCGACATAAAATGGATGCATCTATTCTCCAATAATCACATGATCCTGTTTTTTCTTCTTCACAAATTTCTGTGCCTTGTGATACTGATTTATTTCATGTTTTTATTTTTTGTTGTGAGTGTTATCCACCACATGCCACTCTACATGCCCCTTTATTTTTGGTTATGCAGATCACCCTTTTGGTACAAACCACAAGTTTAACATAAATCCAATATGTGGATCAATTAATAACAATTTAATTGTATTAAAACATAGACCAACTATTATACTTGCTTAACATAGTGATCAAGCTCATATAGTTTTGTTTATTTATTTATTATAATCAAGATATGATTTTCGTATTAGCTTTCATAATATCAAAAAAAAATTCCCTAATCGGAAGCTAGATATATCATCCATTTGGCATCTTCAAGAAAATATTTTTTCTTCCAATTTTGTATATAGAGGGTTTTTATAATAATTTCTTCATCACTTCGATGTCCACTGCACCTCACGATGATATTGATTGTTCAACATGGTATTTGATAGTCTATGAGGATTAAATTAAATGAAAGGAGCTCTAATTACTTAAATAAATGATCTTAGATTTGAATTATTAAGTATGGAAAAAATTCATTACATAATTATCTCTATCTTATGCACATGGTAGAATAACGAGAAATTAGTTTGACATTTCGGACTTGAAATATCCCGAGGGATAAAAAAGACATTGTACATGATAAATTAAGTGTTTTCGGACTTTTAGTCCTTTGGGTATGGTAGACACGAGAAATTAGTAATCTAGGACGAGATGCGGTTTGTGTATCTATGAATATCATGATTTTCCTTACCAACCACTAATCAAATTTTTTTTTCATCAATTTATATTACATTGTAAGAATAAAATTTAGAATACATTCTTCAATTAATAATGAATTATTGGATCAAATTGTAAGATTTTAGTTGTTAGAGATCAAGTTCAATACTTCAAGAAACAGTAAGGACTAAAAAGAAAATGGCAAGCCAAATTTATTTTCCATTGAAAATGAATTAGTTGGCTACATCAAGAAATTCGGCATTAATGAGAATTATTTTTACCCAATAGAATTTTATTAGAATACCTATCGAGTAGGAAAAACTATTCTAAGAGAATTAATATTTCTAATTAGTTTAGTTAGCTTTTTAAGTTTACTTAACCGCTAAGTTCATAAAGATGCATTATTATTGTAATTTTTTGGACTGACCCAAAACTTTTTTTTTTTTTGAATTTATTTTTCAACCTCTATACTCTATTTTTCTTTTCAAATTTATATTTTACCTTTTTTCTTTTTAATTTATTTTCTTACTGCAATATTTATTGCTTTGTTTATAGCATTATTTATCGATTTGTTTTACTACTTTCTTTATAGCTTTTCTAAATGTAGTTCCTAGCTTTCTTAAGTTTTTCCTATCATAGTTTATTAGATTATTTTATCTTAAAACCTTAACTATTTTGCTTGATTTAAATCTCTTGCTTACATTCCATCAATCCTTCTCATTTGAACTCTTTTGATTATAAACTTTATTATTCTTTACTTTGACTATATGTCCGTAGAATTTGTATCGAGATAGTTATTGTTTTTTCACAAGTTATTCCTAAATGCTGGTTGTTCTAAAAAAAAAAAAAAAACAGTCACTAGTAGCTGGTAAACAAAAATGAATCCATAGTCCAATAGTTTAAGCTTTTAAAAAGTAATGTCCATTTATTTATATAAGTTTTCACATGCACGGTTCCATATGCCAACATAAAGTGACTCTTAATGCATATTTTTCTAACAAGTCATAATAAAACTAATTATGGTTTGTTGGATAAGGGTAGATCTAATTTGTGTTTGTTGAGCAATGGCTTAGCATTGTACGTAAAGAACTAGTATAAAAAATGCTATGTTGATTGACTTTCATAGTTGTGGTTCTTATTGATAAAATGAAAGGTAAAAAAAATTACATATTAATACTATTTTTATATAATAATTTTTAATAACTGATAATAGTTTTGTTTGAGTTAGAAATGCAAGTCAACCATTCATATAATGTGTTCAATTTAGTAGATATATATATATATATATATATATATATATATACACTATTCCTTTTATTTTATTCTCGTCCTTTTATAATATTTATGTTATTAATGGATTTCAAATTATATAAAAAAAGAAAAAAGAAAAAAAGATGAGCTAGTAAAATTATAATTACAGCGTGTGAGAAAGTAAATTTTTCCATAAACATTACATGAATTCTACATTAATTTACCTAATGATCAAACAATATTTGAAGCATTAAAGATGTACAACATCCAATGTATAGGTAAATAGGTTTTCCTATATATATATATATATATATATAAATTTGGGTATTAAATTGAAATCCAGCAATGAAACTAGGGATGGCAATTTGCCTCGCCCGCCCGCCTCGCCGCGTCAATTTTCCCCGGTCAATACGGAGATTCCCTATATTGACCGAGGAACAGGGGCGGGGCGCCCGCAAGCGGGGACGAGGCGGGGATGGGATTTGCCTGCCCCATCCCGTTTGCCCCATTTCTTTTTTTTCATTAAAATTATAATTATACCCCATATAAAATCTATAATTAGTGACTTTTAAGGTTTATTTTTTATATAAATTATTATTTTTTTACTATAATTTAAAATTTAATAGTAAAATTGGATAAAATAAGACGAAAATAAAAAAAATTATTTCATTTACGTCCCATTTACCCTGCGGAGATCCCCATCCTCATTTGAGACGAAAATTGTACGAGAAATTTTGCTTTGTTTGAAGCACAAGGCGGGCGGAGAGGGGATAGGGGCGATCCTCATCCTCACCCCCACCCCGCCCCTTTGCCATCCCTAAATGGAACATCAAAAGGGCTGCTTTCTTGATATATAGCATGGTGCCATGTTCAATTGCAAATGCCATGTCAAAAATTGATCGTCCAAATAAATTGTCATTCCAAATCATAAAATCAATTTACTAACTATTAACAAAACAACTAAAAGAAGTGGATTTATTATTATTTGGTACTACTCACTGTCTCTTAGTTTACGGTAGACCAACACCAAGAGACAGTTTGTGTGCTTCAGCCATTGATCCTTTATTCCTTTTTCCTTTTCATTTATAGTCGTTTGATTTCCTTTTTTATTTTATTTGCTTTGCAAATTGGCTATTTATTACTCATGCATTTTCTCTCTATTTTTATTTTTGCCCCTGTCTATTTTTGCTCTTTTATTTCTTTTCCTTTGCTTTCCAAGTTGTTTAATTACTTATCTTGTGTTTTGTGCATATGTTTAATTTTGCCACTATCTCTGTCGTCATTTTCTTTTTTTACATGCCCCAGGCAAGCAGCTTGCATTAGGCTTGCTTTTGCAGGCCTACACATGCAAGCTTGCTATGGGTCCGTAGAAGCCAGGCGCACAGACTTCTCTCCTTTTTTTTTTTTTTTTTTTTAACTAACAATTTATGTTTAAATTTTATTATTGAATTAGATGAAAAAATTATATAAAAAATATTTTTTTACAAAGGCTATATATATATATAAAGTTGATCTCTTCAATTTGTCATTTTTTATAGAATTTTTTTCATCAAATTAATTTTTTAATCTTCTATTTTATGTAATTTTATTTATTAATGACTATGATTTATCTCTCTATGTATGAATTTTTAAATAAATTTTAAAATATAAATAATCAATCAAAAAATAAAATTCACATATTTTATTTTTTTATTATTTATACAATCAAATTTTATCGAAATTAATTTTGTAATTGTTTTTATTATATCCTATTAACTTGTTTCTATCTAAACTAAAATTGGATTAGCTTTACAAAATTGATACGAAATCCCTTTTTAAGGAGATGCTCAAATGATTTTTCATATCCAGATTTTTTAATGAAAAAATATCTGTTTTTAATTTTTTTATAACACGTCAAAGTAATCAAATCTTAATAAATTAGTGCAAAAACTCACATATTTGATAATCATATTTTTATATGTCACATTAAAAATATTACTACTAGATATTATTAAAATATAAAATTATGTTATTAAAATAATTAATGATATGTACTAATTAGTACAGCATCACTGATTAACATGGTTATATATATAAATCAATTAAAATCTCTTTTATGTTTAGAAATTATGCATGTAGTGTTGAATTATGTGCTTATTATTTATTAAATAATTTAGAATTAATTATTATTACGATTGTAT